TGGTCATAAGTCACTTTTTTGCTGTTGTCATAACTTTAAACGGTCACTAAGTGAACTGTAGGAGGTTGAGGACTACCTGTACTAGTCTAGCTCAATCTTGACATAAGGTTAAATAATAAATGTAAAGGTTTGGCCTGCCAGCTGAAGAAAATGTAAAGACCAGCCATTACATTCTGCCAGCGAAGCAGAAAAGAAAGGGAACTAACAGGATGAGGAACAATTCTGGGCCAGGACAATTTAAACAACAATTAGCATTAGGTCTCAGAAACAGCAAACAGGTGTTGAAACATACACAAACTGAGGATCCCACGTCAAATTGTACATCACATCATGCCCCACTGTAAACTGAGGGCATATACAGTATCTCATTTTAAAATATACATGATGCTTCGCTTCAAGGGTTAGAGGGCCTAGACCAGGGGGAGGAAACCTTGGCTCTTTTTTGACTCGTGGACTCCAACTGCCAGAATTCCTGAGCCAGCCATGCTGAGGAGAAATGGAGAGGTTTCCAATCTGAGCCATGCTGGCTCAGGAATTCTGGGAGTTGAAATCCACGAGTCATAAAAGAGCCAAGGTTGCCTACCCATGGCCTAGACATTGGTTTACAACATAGATATTTCTCAAATTTATATTATATTGTTTTATTAGTCTAGATGAAATGTTAATATATATTGCAAATCCAGGTATGATATGCCACATACTAAACAAATAAACATACACAAAGAGAGAGAGAGAGAGAGAGAGAGAGAGAGAGAGAGAGAGAGAGAGAGAGAGAGAGAGAGAGAGAGGGAAATGGGAACAGAGATTTAAAGATTTGCTCCCAAATGGGAAATATCCAGTGTAACCATTCCTTCCTGTTGCCTTGCCTTGTTTTGCCCTGGTATTTATCACCACCATCATCCTATTTATAGTTATTTATGGAATTTTGTATTTGCCCACAATTGTCTTCACTGCAAAAAAGTGTGGAAACAATTGACAATATTACCTGTCTCAGCCCGAGTGGTGACTAAAACAGCACAAACCGCAGGGACTAAAGACCTTCCTCAGCTCAGGACGGAGTTTTAGGCCCTGTGTTGGGAAAGGAGGAGGCCATTTCTGTTGTCCAGAAATTCAGTGAGTGGTGATTGGATCTTGGATTCATCAATCAAAGGACAGTAACACTGAGTTCCTCCACTTAGTTTATATTCATGTTTATGTTTATACATTTACAATCTTTCTTGCCACAGCTGTTAAGTGAATCAAGTTGTTAAGTTAGTAACAGGGTTGTTAAGTGAATCTGGCTTCTGTAAGGATTTTGATTTTCAAACTGTTGCAAAAGGCGATCGCATGACCTCCGGACATAGCAACAGTCATAAGTATGAACAAATGACAAAATTAGTGGACCAGAGGAATGCTGTGGATATAATTTACTATTACTATTATCAAATTGGAAAACATTTGAATTCTGATCACATGATCCTGGGACTACTAGTAAGGTCGTAAGTGTGAAAAACCGTCATAAATCACTTTTTTCAGGGCTGTAACTTTCAACGGTCACTAAATGATCTGTTGTAAATTGAAGACTACCTGCAATATGTGTACTTGATCCTGCTTCCAATAGTTTTCCTCTACCTTCCATTGAAATTTCTCTAATCACTTCACAACTCTGAAGTCTATGCTTCAGAAAGACAGTCATGACGTTAACTACGTTTGTTCCTGTTTGGGGCATCATATCAAAGTTAGATATATTTATAAACTCAAAGAGGATACAAGGACAGCATTTAAAATATGAAAATAAATTGGAATCCTCCCATTGGAGGAAGAAAAAAAAAACTGTGTGAAACAATAGATGTTTCGGAAGTAAACCTGCAAACATGAAAAAAAATAAAAATTTGTTCTGTTTCTGTGAAGCATGTGGTTTAATATTTCACTATAACTGAAGTACAAGTTGTGAAGCTGGGTACTTTGAACCTGGGCTTTATTTTTTGTTTTTGTTTCTAGTTTATAATATTTTGAAATTGAAAAAAGAATATATTTGCTACTAGCAAGCTCATTCCTGAAGAAAGAAGAAACGTCGCCATTTATTAGGGCAGCGAATGCTTCAAAATTTATTTAGAAGAGATTTAAGAACAGAGTCTCTCTCCTGGTCATTAAAAATCTCTAACTTTTTTCTCTTTGAGCCTGAAGTCACATTACCAGTAATGGTTGTCCTCAACGTAAGACTGAAAATGAGCCCTGAATTACAGTAGTAAGTTGCTGCAGTCACAAGTCGAGGCATCATGTGACTGGACCCAAATTTTCAACATTTTTAGAGTAGTTGTTAAGCAAATGCTGTAGTCGTTAAGCGAATGCTGAAGTCATTAAGTGTTCGCTGGGGCACTGCAAACAGTTCTAAAGGTAATCAGTTGCCAAGAATCCAAAATGGGACCATGTGATCATGGAGGTGGGGATATGCGGACACCATAATGATTAAAATAAGTCATAAGTAGTTCTGGGTCAGTTCTTCATAATTTCAAATGGTCATTAAGCAAGCAATCATAAATCGAGGACTACCTATAACGATTAAATAATAGTATTTTATTAGGGAAAACCCTCAGAGCTGTTAGATCTGTAAGGGGAGAGGAGGGGCTGCCCTGGGCCTTCCTGAGCCAGGGCATGGGAGGAGGTGATGCACATCTGGCCAGCCTTATTGGAGCCATGTCCCAGTCAAGCGGGGCATCCACTGGCACACGTCCAGCTTGGGAGGAGCTGAAAGGGGAGCGCGAGCCCTGCACATGATCAGAGCCTCCGCAGCCCCGAGGGGAGAGTGCACTATGTCCCCTCCCCTCCCTGGAGACCCTGTGTGAGGAGCCCTTCCTTGGGCAGGGGGTTGGTCTAAAAGCCACACCCTAGGATTGTATGATTCCTTCTGTGCTTTGTGCCACAATGATGGTGCTTCTCTGTTGTTCCTGTTCCCACATGAAAGGAAGAGGCCAAAGGCCACCAAAGGAGTCAACCACCGGGCCGCCCAGACACTGCTAAATCCAGGTGAGCTGCTCTCCTTGGGTAGGTTTAGAATGTGGCCCTTGTTTACCTAGTTTCCGAGGCAACGAGGTTGTCAGTTTCTCTGAAAAGCCACCAACCAGGGCCCAACTGCCCATTCTCCCTTCGTGCAGTGAAAGGACAAACAGCTGCTTGGGGTCATGGCTGTATGGAAGTTTTTTAGAGTAAGTGTGGCCATCTCAGCTGCCAAGAAACTGGCAGTAGTAGGGGAGAAAGTCATGCTTCGCAACTCTTCCGACTGGCTCATCTCTATTTCTCTTTTCTTCACAGAACATCTGGAAAAGATGTTCGGCGCTCTTCTGCTGCAGGAAGAGCGACGTAGAGAACCTTCCTGTGCCTCCTGACAGGTACCACCCCCTTCTCCTCAAACCCTGGGCATGGTGGGGCACCACTGATGGACTGTAGGGTCTCTAACAGCCTCTCCCCAAGATGGCTTTCTCTTGGCAAGCGGCTTGCAGAGGCCAAAAGATGGGAAGGCTGACTGGTTGGCTGGTCTTAGAAATGAGAGGCAGAGCTAGATGGATATTTTTTGACATGTCATCTTTTTCTTTCGGTCAGAACTGACGAGGCACATGAACAGGCGGACCAGAAGGGAGAATGGCAGACACAGATTCGTGTGTCCGATGGACGCAGGCCTTCCTCCCAAGGGGTAAGGATGCTTCTGCGACATGGCCAGTCAGGGCTCATCCCTCATAACAGGATGGGGAAAGGGAGGAATTCTCACTTGGGGGAACCTGGCCAGCCTAGCAAAAGCAAGAGGAGCCTTTTGGATTCATGGAAAGATCTTGATGGCTTCCTATCAGCCAAATCTTCCATGATCTGCTTTGTCTTTCCCTGTTGAATGCAGTCTTTCCCTCCTGGGGAAGATAAACGTTCCACAACATGCAGGGGACTTTTAATTTATACTTTCAATTGTTACTTGCAGGGTTTGATGGGTGTTCGTGCCACCGCCCGGAGCCCCAGGAAGGAAGAGGTGATGCCAGTTCTCATTTCAGTGAGGTAGGTGTTCGCAGATTAAGTATTCTGAACCCCCCTAAAAGGCAGCCGCAGTAAAGCCCTAAAGAGAAGGGCTAGAAGAAACCTTTGCAGAGGCGGGGGGGCATCGCATGGCTAGTTTTGATCTTTGGCCCTTCATTCTCTCCCTAGAAATGAGAAGATAGCGAAGTGGAGGCCGCGGCTCTCAACCATCTGGGAGACCTGCACTGAGTCGGTAAGCCCAGACCAGCTCCTCACCATGGCACTGGCAGAAGCCCTTTCGCTGTGGATTTGTTGATATGCCAACATTTGTAATATTTGCATTGTTATTTCAGGATCCTTCGGAAGAATACCGACCAAGAGAAGTGCAGAAGGAAAGCAGTGCCTGCCTATCAAGGTAGGTAACACCTCAGAGGGTGAAGCCTTTGCAGAGAGGAGGCATCTCTGACCTCTGCCTCTGCTTCTGCTAAAGGAAGAATCAAAGGCCAATCTCCTTGGCAGGCCAGCTGGAAGGGTTCTTAGAGCCTCCACGTCACCACTTTTTTACAAAGGGCCCATGGCTGTTTTTGATGTTTGGCTCCTTCGTTTCTCTCCCCAGAGAGGAAAAGGAAGAGCACTGGAGGCCGCGACTCCCCCCCAGATCAGAGACCTGCAGAGAATCGGTAAGGCGCGAACAACTTCTACCCCACTAAACGAAGAACCATTGTCTCTGTGGAGATGCCAACAGACAGAATCTTTGCCTTTTTATTTCAGGACGACGAAGACCAGCCGGCGGAGGAGCAGCTCTCTCCTACTGGGGAGAAGACGCATACTTCGGAGGTAAGAAAGTCTTGGCAATGGGGCCGATGGAGGCTCTCGTGCTGTTGGCGCACAGGGCCTGAATGCACCCTATCCTTTAGCAATCTTATTGGGATGCAGAAAGCTTAGGATTTATCCTCGATACTGTCATTTGCAGGATTCGATGGAAGTCCTGGTGGGCTCCCGGAACAACAGCCTGGAGGATATTGACTCCATTTCTGCCCTCTTGGATGAGGAGTCTGAGGGAAGCTGGGAGCAGGCTGCAGAGGCTTCGGAGGCCAGCCTTTCGTCCAGTCCGTGGGTAAGACAGACAAAGTGTTTTCTCTTGGGGAGGGATAGAGTCCCTCTATTCAGTTCTCCTAATCTGAGTGAACTGTGCTGGAGAGCTCTGGGCAGTGGATAAAGGTGACACCTGGCCCTTGGGACAAGGTACTTAGGCTAACTAGAAGCACCCAAGCTGTGTTGCGATTGATTTACTGCAAACCAGAAGGGAAGGGCCAATTCAGTGGACTGGGGTCCCAAATAGGTATGGCCCACCCTGTTTATCCCTTTCATTTTTCTGCATCATCCTCTCCAGCAACCAGCTGTTTCCAGGCAGGGCTTTAACGGGCAGAGTGGGTGGGAGTGGGGCTTGCAACAGAAGCATTGTTTCTGATGGGAATCCCAAATCAATCGGGCCCCTTTTAGAAATTCTGAGTCTACTTTCATTGATGGATAAAAAGTCATCAGTGTCATTCACAGGATTCTCCCGAAGAAGGGGAAGCCTCGCTGGACAATGTCAGCAGCCTGGAGGAGGACTCCCTGGACCTCAGTCTCTAATTAAAAGAGGTACCTATTTTAGCCTCTTTGTGGATCAATGCCTTGCTCAAGGAAACAATGAGCTCTGACGGGCAGGGTCACCCAAGTCAGACAGGTCATAGTGCAGAGTGCTGACATAACGTGGTCCACTGGAAAAGGAAATGGCAACCCTCTCCTTACTTTTGATACCCCACAAAAAGTATCAAAAGTAACTCCAGAAAGAACAAAGTTTGTATACTTTTATAGAAAGTGTGTGGTACTAAGAATAGCCTTTGATTCCTCCCCCAGACGCTTCCCCAGATGCCTCTCCAGAAGGCAGATCGGAGGAGGATGAACCAGTCCCAGGCACATCAGGAGGTGAGTTGGCCAATGCCTCCGAGCAGCCAGCGGAGAGTGATTTGGCTGAAGCACAGCTGCAGCAGGAGAGCCCTGAAACTTCCGGGCAGCTGCAGATGGTTAGCTTTGAGCAGGAACTGCTTTCTGCATTATCCGAGAACAACTAGGGAAGAGAAAAGGCAGGAGCAGCAAAGGGCGGTTCTTTCACTCACGAGGAGGCAGTCTTGCCTTTCTTGATGGGCTGCACCAGAAGCTGGCAATTGAGCACAGCAGACAAATGGAGGCCATGCTGGGAACAATGCATTCATGACTAGGGGGTTGGAGTAGAAGACCTCCAAGGTCCCTTCCAACTCTTGGTATTCTATCTGCATATAGACGGATGGCGGAATCAGCCCCAGCGGCGAAGCCCTGCGAGGAGCCACTTTCCAACGAGGAAGTTCCTGCGTCTTGTTAATGTTATTGTTGTAATTCTTTTTGTTGTACCTGTTGTTGTTGTGCATCTTCTTGTTTTTGTTCTTGTTGATTGAGAATAAAACTAAAAAATTCTTTATATCTGCTAATTTAGTTTAAACCTAGTTTCATTACACTTTTGTTAGGAATAACAAACTTTTCATTAAATGCAGAATTTCAGCAAACTTCTTTGTCTGGTTTCTCGTATTTTTTCCACCGTTCTATGGGATACAGTGATTAGTATTCACTTACAATATTAATGGAAACCTGACACTTCCAGAGGTTCCTCAGCTACGCGCAAGTAGTCCTCAACTTACCACAATTGATCCACAAATTTATCTGTTAAATACAACATTTGTTTAGTGACTTTTGCCCCATTTTACGACCTTTCTTCCCACAGTTGTTAAGCAGATCACTGCAGTTGTTAAGATAGTAATACAGTTGTTAAGAGAATATGGCTTCCCCATTGTTTTTGCTTGCCAGAAGGACTCAAAAGTTGATCACATGACCCCGGGACACTGCTACAGTCATAAACATGAGTCAGTTGCCAAGCATCTGAATATCGATCATGTGACTAAGGGGCTACTGCAACGGACGATAAGTGTCGAAAAAAAGATTTATAAGTCCCTTTTCAGGCTCGCTTGTAACTGTGAACAGCTAACACGTGAACTTCGTAAGTGGAGCGATACCTGTCATTTTGAACCAAACCAGGTAGTGTCTTGTAAGCAGGAGATTTTGTGCAGAAACATCCAGTGACGATCTGTCCTGGCACATAAGTGATGAGAGGCCCAGAAACGCAATGTCAGATTCTGCCCTCCAGGGGGCCCAGAAAGTTTGCCTTCTTCCAGCAAGCAAGGGAAATTACACGAATGAATACCAAAGTGAAACGGACTAAGACTGCAATATTATTTCTCGAAACTCATGCTAGATTGTTGCACACACTAGCAAAATACTGTATATAAGATACACAAATGGGACAGCTAAAATGGCAAGGAAAGTGTATGTCCTATCCAGACGTGAACAATGTCCATGCCAGTGATTTCCATTAAACTGTAAATAAAAATGATCATGTGAATGGCAACATAGCATACCTTGCTTTGTTATTCTCCTCTCAGTAACCTTGTTAATTGGTACTACATTTTCGATTGAAAAAGATGTGTTGCTTCACGTTTACTAAGAATAAGAATATAAGGTATTTAGGGCTTGGATTCAAAGGCTTGATGTTTGCCCTCTTCCCCATCTGCACTCATGCAATTGCATTGTGGGCAATCAGCAACCAGATCACATTCAGAGCTTTTTGCAGCATCCCACAATCACGTGACTACAGCTTACAATGTTTTGCTGGCGTTGACTACCAATATCTGGTAAAAAATGCCCATTCTGAAAAATGGGTACACTTAACGACTGCAGCTTTCATTTAATGACCGCTGCAAACACCGTTGTAGAATAGGTTTGGTCACATGATGTCTTACTTAATCACCAGTAAGACTTACCGTCTTAATTCCAGACTGGTATTAGGTGCCAAATGCTATTACTCTTTTTTTAAAGATATGAAAGATTATCAGTATTATCCTCTGTGCATCTCCATCTACAAAACCGCATTTGCATACAGCTCTGCAATTCAACCCCTCTAACCGATTTTCTCTGGAGAGGTGAGCGCAACTCCCAGACTGGCCATTTCTCTCCATGTAAATGGTGGCCTGACAGCGACTGCAATCTGACCGCTTACAGAGAGGCACCAATTTCATCTGGCACAGGGAAACACATGTCAACTTCCCAACCAAAAGTACAAGTAGTGCTCGACTTACAACCACAATGGAACCTAAAATTTCTGTTGTCAAGAGAGACATTTGTTAATGGAATTTTGCCCCATTTTATGACCTTTCTTGCCACAGCTATTAAGTGAATCACTCCAGTTCATAAGCGAGTAACCTGGTTGTTAAGTGAATCTGGCTTCCCCATTGACTTTGCTTGTCAGAAGGTCACAAAAGGAGGTGACATGACCTTGGGACACAGGAACGGTCGTAAGTATGAACCAGTTGCCAAGCATCTGAATTTTGATCACAGAATCATGGGGATGCTGCAAAGGGGGTAACTGTGAAAAACGAACATATGTCACTTTTTTCAGTGACGTTGTAACTTCGAATGGTCACTAAATGAACAGTTGTAAGTTGAGGACTTCCTGTAATTTGGAGGGCTATTTCTTCTATAGACAAGGAGCACTGATGATGTCTTGCAATATACATCTTAAAATAAATAACCAACCTGGAAACATTTTTGGAATACGAGTTTACTTACAGAAGAAAGATTCTATATTTACCATTTAATAATAGGCTGGAAGATAAAACCCCAAAAAGATATTTATCAGATGCCATAAAAGTCACTTAGAAGCTGAATTTAACAGAATGACAGAGTTGGAAGGGACCTTGGAGATCTTTTAGTCCAACCTCCTAGAATTCCAGAAGTGAAGAAGGGGTTTCCAAGTTGAAAAAAAAGTACTCATATGTTGTTGTTGTTTTCATCAAAGGAATCAATTTAGCCATCTCTGCTACCACCATCAACTTTTGCAACCATTCCTCCATTGTGGAGATCGAAATGTCCTTCCCTTTTTGTACATAAAGTAGTCTTGCTCCCATCAACGTATATAACATTGAAGTTCCATCATTGTTTCCAAGTCTTTTTTCCATTAAGCCAAAAAGAACAGTTTCTGCTTTTACCTTTATATTCACTTTCAGAATTTTCTGTATTAGAATAGAAATCCTACTCCAATATTTCTTTACTTTATCACATGTCCACCGTAAATGATAAAAGCTCCCTTGGGCCAGGATGTTTTTCAGGGGGCTGTGAATGTAGACACGAGTTGCCTCTGGTGTGATGCGTATTTTGGTCGTTGATGATGCCGACAATATTGCAATGATTAATGTTAATTATTATTTACTGCCAAAAGTCATATTGCAAATGGGTACCTATATATATTGAAATAGAAAAAGCTTTATTGATTATCTAGAGATAACTCCCAACTTTTCAGCATTTTCCAAGTTCCCCACATCCAAATGCCACTCAAGCACTGCTCTAGGCCGCTGACCACAGTAACCGAGCTACACAAATATTGTATAGTAAGGATGGGTTGTCAAAATGAAATACAATAACAGAAGAACGAATCCTCCTTTATCAGTAGTCCTAGGAGGCAAAGAATGCATAAATGCAGAAGAAAAGTTTGATTTTTAAGAGACACCAGAGCTGTTATTTCAATCAGTGCATTCCCCGATGTTATTGCCATGTGATAACAACAACAAGGGCCAGAATGCAATAGGTCTGTCACTAACAACTATGGAAAACCCGCTACTTGCCATTTCCACGATTCTTCTCATAAAGTCTAGTCATTTGCTAAATCCACTAAATACGATGACTGAGCAGCTACTGTTTTACCATAATATCCTACAAAACAGAGAAAGGCATGATAAAAAAGAGAATCTAAGATGTCATGTTGAGATAAATTAAGGAAGTGCGAATGGCTATAGCTCTTTCCCACCTTTACAAAGCCGTTGTTTTAGTAGAGTGTATTGAGAGGAAACGAAGAACCCTGCAAAATTATACTGGGTTATCCAGTTGGTTACATGGAGGTTAAGTGAATCTGGCTTCTGCATTGATTTTGCTTTTCAAACTGTTGCAAAAGGTGAACACGTCACCTTAGGACACAGCAAGAGTCATAAGTATGAACATAAGTATGTCAAGGATCTAACGTTTGATCACGTCACACTATAAGTGTGAAAAATGATCATAAGTCACTTTTTTGCTGTTGTCATAACTTTAAACGGTCACTAAGTGAACGGTAGGAGGCTGAGGACTACCTGTACTAGTCTAGTTCAATCTTGACATAAGGTTAAATAATAAATGTAAAGGTTTGGCCTGACAGCTGAAGAAAATGTAAAGACCAGCCACTACATTCTGACAGCGAAGCAGAAAAGAAAGGGAACTAACAGGATGAGGAACAATTCTGGGCCAGGACAATTTAAACAACAATTAGCATTAGGTCTCAGAAACAGCAAACAGGTGTTGAAACACACACAAACTGAGGATCCCACATCAAACTGTACATCACATCATGCCCCACTGTAAACTGAGGGCATATACAGTATCTCATTTTAAAATATACATGATGCTTCGCTTCAAGGGTTAGAGGGCCTAGACCAGGGGGAGGAAACCTTGGCTCTTTTTTGACTCGTGGACTCCAACTGCCAGACTTCCTGAGCCAGCCATGCTGAGGAGAAATGGAGAGGTTTCCAATCTGAGCCATGCTGGCTCAGGAATTCTGGGAGTTGAAATCCACGAGTCATAAAAGAGCCAAGGTTGCCTACCCATGGCCTAGACATTGGTTTACAACATAGATATTTCTCAAATTTATATTATATTGTTTTATTAGTCTAGATGAAATGTTAATATATATTGCAAATCCAGGTATGATATGCCACATACTAAACAAATAAACACACACAAACAGAGAGAGAGAGAGAGAGAGAGAGAGAGAGAGAGAGAGAGACAGAGAGAGAGAGAGAGAGAGAGAGACAGAGAGAGGGAAATTGGAACAGAGATTTAAAGATTTGCTCCCAAATGGAAATATCTAGTGTAACCATTCCTTCCTGTTGCCTTGCCTTGTTTGCCCTGGTATTTATCACCACCAGCATCCTATTACAGTTATTTATGGAATTGTATTGGCCAACAATTGTTTCCACTGACAAAAAAGTGTGGAAACAATGACAATATACCTGTCTCAGCCCGAGGGGTGACTAAATAGACAAACCGCAGGGATAAAGACCTTCTCAGTAAGGACGGATTTTTAGGCCTGTGTTGGGAAAGGAGGAGGCCATTTCTGTTGTCCAGAAAGTCAGTGAGTGGTGATTGGATCTTGGATTCATCAATCAAAGGACAGTAACACTGAGTTCCTCCACTTAGTTTATATTCATGTTTATGTTTATACATTTACAATCTTTCTTGCCACAGCTGTTAAGTGAATCAAGTTGTTAAGTTAGTAACAGGGTTGTTAAGTGAATCTGGCTTCTGTAAGGATTTTGATTTTCAAATTGTTGCAAAAGGCGATCGCATGACCTTCGGACATAGCAACAGTCATAAGTATGAACAAATGACAAAATTAGTGGACCAGAGGAATGCTGTGGATATAATTTACTATTACTATTATCAAATTGGAAAACATTTGAATTTTGATCATATGATCCTGGGACTACTAGTAAGGTCGTAAGTGTGAAAAACCGTCATAAATCACTTTTTTCAGGGCTGTAACTTTCAACGGTCACTAAATGATCTGTTGTAAATTGAAGACTACCTGCAATATGTGTACTTGATCCTGCTTCCAATAGGTTTTCCTCTACCTTCATGAAATTTCTAACCACTTCACAAAACTCTGAAGTTATGCTCAGACAAGACTAATGCGTGAACTAAGTTGTTCCGGTTTGGGGCCACATATCAAGTAGATAATTTATAAACTCAAAAGGATACAAGGAAAGCATTTAAATATGAAAATAAATTGGAATCATTTTTTTCCCCCCCAAATTTTTGGAAAGAAGGGGAGGAAGGGGAAAAAAAAAACAAAAAAAAAAAAAAAAAAAAAAAAACCAACTAAACAAACTTGGTTTTTTTGTTGTGGGAAAAAAACACCCAAATTTTTTAAGGGGGGGGGGGGGGAAAATTGGTTTCGGGTGGGAAAAAAAAGGAAAAATAAAAAAAAATCCTGCCCAAAACATGAAAAAAAAAAAAAAAAAAAAAAAAAAAAAAAAAAAAATAAAAAAAAATTTTGTTTGTTTCTGTTTTTTTCCCGTGGGGGGGAAAAGCCCCAAATGTGGTTTAATATTTCACTATAACTGAAGTACAAGTTGTGAAGCTGGGTACTTTGAACCTGGGCTTTATTTTTTGTTTTTGTTTCTAGTTTATAATATTTGGAAATTGAAAAAAGAATATATTTGCTACTAGCAAGCTCATTCCTGAAGAAAGAAGAAACGTCGCCATTTATTAGGGCAGCGAATGCTTCAAAATTTATTTAGAAGAGATTTAAGAACAGAGTCTCTCTCCTGGTCATTAAAAATCTCTAACTTTTTTCTCTTTGAGCCTGAAGTCACATTACCAGTAATGGTTGTCCTCAACGTAAGACTGAAATTGAGCCCTGAATTACAGTGGTAAGTTCCTGCAGTCACAAGTCGAGGCATCATGTGACTGGACCCAAATTTTCAACATTTTTAGAGTAGTTGTTAAGCAAATGCTGAAGTCATTAAGTGTTCGCTGGGGCGCTGCAAACAGTTCTAAAGGTAATCAGTTGCCAAGAATCCAAAATGGGATCATGTGATCATGGAGGTGGGGATATGCGGACACCATAATGATTAAAATAAGTCATAAGTAGTTCTGGGTCAGTTCTTCATAATTTCAACTGGTCATTAAGCAAGCAGTCATAAATCGAGGACTACCTATAACGATTAAATAATAGTATTTTATTAGGGAAAACCCTCAGAGCTGTTAGATCTGTAAGGGGAGAGGAGGGGCTGCCCTGGGCCTTCCTGAGCCAGGGCATGGGAGGAGGTGATGCACGTCTGGCCAGCCTTATTGGAGCCATGTCCCAGTCAAGCGGGGCCTCCACTGGCACACGTCCAGCTTGGGAGGAGCTGAAAGGGGAGCGCGAGCCCTGCACATGATCAGAGCCTCCGCAGCCCCGAGGGGAGAGTGCACTATGTCCCCTCCCCTCCCTGGAGACCCTGTGTGAGGAGCCCTTCCATGGGCAGGAGGTTGGTCTAAAAGCCACACCCTAGGATTGTATGATTCCTTCTGTGCTTTGTGCCACAATGATGGTGCTTCTCTGTTGTTCCTGTTCCCACATGAAAGGAAGAGGCCAAAGGCCACCAAAGGAGTCAGCCACCGGGCCGCCCAGACACTGCTAAACCCAGGTGAGCTGCCCTCCTTGGGTAGGTTTAGAATGTGGCCCTGGTTTACCTAGTTGCCGAGGCAACGAGGTTGTCAGTTTCCCTGAAAAGCCACCAACCAGGGCCCAACTGCCCATTCTCCCTTCGTGCAGTGAAAGGACAAACAGCTGCTTGGGGTCATGGCTGTACGGAGGTTTTTTAGAGTAAGTGTGGCCGTCTCAGCTGCCAAGAAACTGGCAGTAGTAGGGGAGAAAGTCATGCTTCGCAACTCTTCCGACTGGCTCATCTCTATTTCTCTTTTCTTCACAGAACATCTGGAAAAGATGTTCGGCGCTCTTCTGCTGCAGGAAGAGCGACGTAGAGGACCTTCCTGTGCCTCCTGACAGGTACCACCCCCTTCTCCTCAACCCCTGGGCATGGTGGGGCACCACTGATGGACTGCAGGGTCTCTAACAGCCTCTCCCCAAGATGGCTTTCTCTCGGCAAGCGGCTTGCAGAGGCCAAAAGATGGGAAGGCTGACTGGCTGGCTGGTCTTAGAAAGGAGAGGCAGAGCTAGATGGATATTTTTTGACATGTCATCTTTTTCTTTCGGTCAGAACTGACGAGGCACATGAACAGGCGGACCAGAAGGGAGAATGGTGGACACAGATTCGTGTGTCCGATGGACGCAGGCCTTCCTCCCAAGGGGTAAGGATGCTTCTGCGACATGGCCAGTCAGGGCTCATCCCTCATAACCGGATGGGGAAAGGGAGGAATTCTCACTTGGGGGACCCTGGCCAGCCTAGCAAAAGCAAGAGGAGCCTTTTGGATTCATGGAAAGTTCTTGATGGCTTCCTATCAGCCAAATCTTCCATGATCTGCTTTGTCTTTCCCTGTTGAATGCAGTCTTTCCCTCCTGGGGAAGATAAACGTTCCACAACATGCAGGGGACTTTTAATTTATACTTTCAATTGTTACTTGCAGGGTTTGATGGGTGTTCGTGCCACCGCCCGGAGCCCCAGGAAGGAAGAGGTGATGCCAGTTCTCATTTCAGTGAGGTAGGTGTTCGCAGATTAAGTATTCTGAAGCCCCCTAAAAGGCAGCCGCAGTAAAGCCCTAAAGAGAAGGGCTAGAAGAAACCTTTGCAGAGGCAGGGGGGGCATCGCATGGCTAGTTTTGATCTTTGGCCCTTCATTCTCTCCCTAGAAATGAGAAGATAGCGAAGTGGAGGCCGCGGCTCTCAACCATCTGGGAGACCTGCACTGAGTCGGTAAGCCCAGACCAGCTCCTCACCATGGCAATGGCAGAAGCCCTTTCGCTGTGGATTTGTTGATATGCCAACATTTGTAATATGTGCATTGTTATTTCAGGATCCTTCGGAAGAATACCGACCAAGAGAGGTGCAGGAGGAAAGCAGTGCCTGCCTATCAAGGTAGGTAACACCTCAGAGGGTGAAGCCTTTGCAGAGAGGAGGCATCTCTGACCTCTGCCTCTGCTTCTGCTAAAGGAAGAATCTCAGGCCAATCTCCTTGGCAGGCCAGCTGGAAGGGTTCTTAGAGCCTCCACGTCACCACTTTTTTAAAAAGGGCCCATGGCTGTTTTTGATGTTTGGCTCCTTCGTTTCTCTCCCCAGAGAGGAAAAGGAAGAGCACTGGAGGCCGCGACTCCCCCCCAGATCAGAGACCTGCAGAGAATCGGTAAGGCGCGAACAACTTCTACCCCACTAAACGAAGAACCATTGTCTCTGTGGAGATGCCAACAGACAGAATCTTTGCCTTTTTATTTCAGGACGAAGAAGACCAGCCGGCGGAGGAGCAGCTCTCTCCTACTGGGGAGAAGACGCATACTTCGGAGGTAAGAAAGTCTTGGCAATGGGGCTGATGGAGGCTCTCTTGCTGTTGGCGCACAGGGCCTGAATGCACCCTATCCTTTAGCAATCTTATTGGGATGCAGAAAGCTTAGGATTTATCCTCGATACTGTCATTTGCAGGATTCGATGGAAGTCCTGGTGGGCTCCCGGAACAACAGCCTGGAGGATTTTGACTCCATTTCTGCCCTCTTGGATGAGGAGTCTGAGGGAAGCTGGGAGCAGGCTGCAGAGGCTTCGGAGGCCAGCCTTTCGTCCAGTCCGTGGGTAAGACAGACAAAGTGTTTTCTCTTGGGGAGGGATAGAGTCCCTCTATTCAGTTCTCCTAATCTGAGTGAACTGTGCTGGAGAGCTCTGGGCAGTGGATAAAGGTGACACCTGGCCCGTGGGACAAGGTACTTAGGCTAACTAGAAGCACCCAAGCTGTGTTGCGATTGATTTACTGCAAACCAGAAGGGAAGGGCCAATTCAGTGGACTGGGGTCCTAAATAGATATGGCCCACCCTGTTTATCCCTTTCATTTTTCTGCATCATCCTCTCCAGCAACCAGCTGTTTCCAGGCAGGGCTTTAACGGGCAGAGTGGGTGGGAGTGGGGATTGGAACAGAAGCATTGTTTCTGATGGGAATCCCAAATCAATCGGGCCCCTTTTAGAAATTCTGAGTCTACTTTCATTGATGGATAAAAAGTCATCATTGTCATTCACAGGATTCTCCCGAAGAAGGGGAAGCCTCGCTGGACAATGTCAGCAGCCTGGAGGAGGACTCCCTGGACCTCAGTCTCTAATTAAAAGAGGTACCTATTTTAGCCTCTTTGTGGATCAATGCCTTGCTCAAGGAAACAATGAGCTCTGACGGGCAGGGTCACCCAAGTCAGACAGGTCAGAGTGCAGAGTGCTGACATAACGTGGTGCACTGGAAAAGGAAATGGCAACCCTCTCCTTACTTTTGATACCCCACAAAAAGTATCAAAAGTAACTCCAGAAAGAACAAAGTTTGTATACTTTTATAGAAAGAGTGTGGTACTAAGAATAGCCTTTGATTCCTCCCCCAGACGCTTCCCCAGATGCCTCTCCAGAAGGCAGATTGGAGGAGGATGAACCAGTCCCAGGCACATCAGGAGGTGAGTTGGCCAATGCCTCCGAACAGCCAGCGGAGAGTGATTTGGCTGAAGCACAGCTGCAGCAGGAGAGCCCTGAAACTTCCGGGCAGCTGCAGATGGTTAGCTTTGAGCAGGAACTGCTTTCTGCATTATCCGAGAACAACTAGGGAAGAGAAAAGGCAGGAGCAGCAAAGGGCGGTTCTTTCACTCACGAGGAGGTAGTCTTGCCTTTCTTGATGGGCTGCACCAGAAGCTGGCAATTGAGCACAGCAGACAAATGGAGGCCATGCTGGGAACAATGCATTCCTGACTAGGGGGTTGGAGTAGAAGACCTCCAAGGTCCCTTCCAACTCTTGGTATTCTGTTCTGGTATTCTATCTGCATATAGACGGATGGCGGAATCAGCCCTAGCGGCGAAGCCCTGCGAGGAGCCACTTTCCAACGAGGAAGTTCCTGCGTCTTGTTAATGTTATTGTTGTAATTCTTTTTGTTGTACCTGTTGTTGTTGTGAATCTTCTTGTTTTTGTTCTTGTTGTTTGAGAATAAAACTAAAAAATTCTTTATATCTGCTAATTTAGTTTAAACCTAGTTTCATTACACTTTTGTTAGGAATAACAAACTTTTCATTAAATGCAGAATTTCAACAAACTTCTTTGTCTGTTTTCTCGTATTTTTTCCACCGTTCTATGGGATACAGTGATTAGTATTCACTTACAATATTAATGGAAACCTGACATTTCCGGAGGTTCCTCAGCTACGCGCAAGTAGTCCTCAACTTACCACAATGGATACACAAATTTATCTTTTAAATACAACATTTGTTTAGTGACTTTTGCCCCATTTTACGACCTTTCTTCCCACAGTTGTTAAGCAGATCACTGCAGTTGTTAAGATAGTAATACAGTTGTTAAGAGAATGTGGCTTCCCCATTGTTTGTGCTTGCCAGAAGGACTCAAAAGTTGATCACATGACCCCGGGACACTGCTACAGTCATAAACATGAGTCAGTTGCCAAGCATCTGAATATCGATCATGTGACTAAGGGGCTACTGCAACGGACGTAAGTGTGAAACAAGATCATAAGTCCCTTTTTACAGTGCCGTTGTAACTTTGAATAGTCACTAAGTGAACTGTCGTAAGTGGAGGATTACCTGTACTTTCTGAACATCAACCAGTGTATTGTCTAGTAAGAAGGAGAATTTTGTTCAGCAACATCAGGAAGATCTGTCCTTGGAACATCATGATTGGAGGCACAGAAAGCACTGTAGATCTGCTATGGGGGCAGAAAGTTTGCATTCTTCCAGAAGAAGGAATATTACAGAAGAATACCCAAGTTACACTGGCTAAGAGGCAATAATTTCTTGCAACTCATGCTAGATTGTTGCACACACTAGCAAAATACTGTATATAAGATACACAAATGGGACAGCTAAAATGGCAAGGAAAGTGTATGTCCTATCCAGACGTGAACAATTTCCATGCCAGTGATTTCCATTAAACTGTAAATAAAAATGATCATGTGAATGGCAACATAGCATACCTTGCTTTGTTATTCTCCTCTCAGTAACCTTGTTAATTGGTACTACATTTTCCATTGAAAAAGATGTGTTGCTTCACGTTTAGTAAGAATAAGAATATAAGGTATTTAGGGCTTGGATTCAAAGGCTTGATGTTTGCCCTCTCCCCCATCTGCACTCATGCAATTGCATTGTGGGCAATCAGCAACCAGATCACATTCAGAGCTTTTTGCAGCATCCCACAATCATGTGACTACAGCTTACAATGTTTTGCTGGCATTGACTACCAATATCTGGTAAAAAATGCCCATTCTGAAAAATGGGTACACTTAACGACTGCAGCTTTCATTTAATGACCGCTGCAAACACCGTTGTAGAATAGGTTTGGTCACATGATGTCCTATTTAATCACCAGTAAGACTTACCGTCTTAATTCCAGACTGGTATTAGGTGCCAAATGCTATTACTCTTTTTTTAAAGATATGAAAGATTATCAGTATTATCCTCTGTGCATCTCCATCTACAAAACCGCATTTGCATACAGCTCTGCAATTCACCCCTCTAACCGATTTTCTCTGGAGAGGTGAGCGCAACTCCCAGACTGGCCATTTCTCTCCATGTAAATGGTGGCCTGACAGCGACTGCAATCTGACCGCTTATAGAGAGGCACCAATTTCATCTGGCACAGGCAAACACATGTCAACTTCCCAACCAAAAGTACAAGTAGTGCTCGACTTACAACCACAATGGAGCCTAAAATTTCTGTTGTCAAGAGAGACATTTGTTAATGGAATTTTGCCCCATTTTATGACCTTTCTTTCCACAGTTATTAAGTGAATCACTCCAGTTCATAAGCGAGTAACCTGGTTGTTAAGTGAATCTGGCTTCCCCATTGACTTTGCTTGTCAGAAGGTCACAAAAGGAGGTGACATGACCTTGGGACACAGCAACGGTCATAAGTATGAACCAGTTGCCAAGCATCTGAATTTTGATCACAGAATCATGGGGTGCTGCAAAGGGGGTAACTGTGAAAAACGAACATATGTCACTTTTTTCAGTGACGTTGTAACTTCGAATGGTCACTAAATGAACAGTGGTAAGTTGAGGACTTCCTGTAATTTGGAGGGCTATTTCTTCTATAGACAAGGAGCACTGATGATGTCTTGCAATATACATCTTAAAATAAATAACCAACCTGGAAACATTTTTGGAATACGAGTTTACTTACAGAAGAAAGATTCTATATTTACCATTTAATAATAGGCTGGAAGATAAAACCCAAAAAAGATATTTATCAGAGGCCATAAAAGTCACTTAGAAGCTGAATTTAACAGAATGACAGAGTTGGAAGGGACCTTGGAGATCTTTTAGTCCAACCTCCTAGAATTCCAGAAGTGAAGAAGTGGTTTCCAAGTTGAAAAAAAAGTACTCATGTGTTGTTGTTGTTTTCATCAAAGGAGTCAATTTAGCCATCTCTGCTACCTCCATCAACTTTTGCAACCATTCCTCCATTGTGGAGATCGAAATGTCCTTCCCTTTTTGTACATAAAGTAGTCTGGCTACCATCAATGTATATAACATTGAAGTTCCATCATTGTTTCCAAGTCTTTTTTCCATTAAGCCAAAAAGAACAGTTTCTGCTTTTACCTTTATATTCACTTTCAGAATTTTCTGTATTAGAATAGAAATCCTACTCCAATATTTCTTTACTTTATCACATGTCCACCGTAAATGATAAAAGCTCCCTTGGGCCAGGATGTTTTTCAGGGGGCTGTGAATGTAGACACGAGTTGCCTCTGGTGTGATGCGTATTTTGGTCGTTGATGATGCCGACAATATTGCAATGATTAATGTTAATTATTATTTACTGCCAAAAGTCATATTGCAAATGGGTACCTATATATATTGAAATAGAAAAAGCTTTATTGATTATCTAGAGATAACTCCCAACTTTTCAGCATTTTCCAAGTTCCCCACATCCAAATGCCACTCAAGCACTGCTCTAGGCCGCTGACCACAGTAACCGAGCTACACAAATATTGTATAGTAAGGATGGGTTGTCAAAATGAAATACAATAACAGAAGAACGAATCCTCCTTTATCAGAAGTCCTAGGAGGCAAAGAATGCATAAATGCAGAAGAAAAGTTTGATTTTTAAGAGACACCAGAGCTGTTATTTCAATCAGTGCATTCCCCAATGTTATTGCCATGTGATAACAACAACAAGGGCCAGAATGCAATAGGTCTGTCACTAACAACTATGGAAAACCCGCTACTTGCCATTTCCACGATTCTTCTCATAAAGTCTAGTCATTTGCTAAATCCACTAAATACGATGACTGAGCAGCTACTGTTTTACCATAATATCCTACAAAACAGAGAAAGGCATGATAAAAAAGAGAATCTAAGATGTCATGTTGAGATAAATTAAAGAAGTGCCAATGGCTATAGCTCTTTCCCACCTTTACTAAGCCGTTGTTTTAGTAGAGTGTATTGAGAGGAAACGAAGAACCCTGCAAAATTATACTGGGTTATCCAGTTGGTTACATGGAGGTTAAGTGAATCTGGCTTCTGCATTGATTTTGCTTTTCAAACTGTTGCAAAAGGTGAACACGTCACCTTAGGACACAGCAAGAGTCATAAGTATGAACATAAGTATGTCAAGGATCTAACGTTTGATCACGTCACACTATAAGTGTGAAAAATGATCATAAGTCACTTTTTTGCTGTTGTCATAACTTTAAACGGTCACTAAGTGAACGGTAGGAGGCTGAGGACTACCTGTACTAGTCTAGTTCAATCTTGACATAAGGTTAAATAATAAATGTAAAGGTTTGGCCTGACAGCTGAAGAAAATGTAAAGACCAGCCACTACATTCTGACAGCGAAGCAGAAAAGAAAGGGAACTAACAGGATGAGGAACAATTCTGGGCCAGGACAATTTAAACAACAATTAGCATTAGGTCTCAGAAACAGCAAACAGGTGTTGAAACACACACAAACTGAGGATCCCACATCAAACTGTACATCACATCATGCCCCACTGTAAACTGAGGGCATATACAGTATCTCATTTTAAAATATACATGATGCTTCGCTTCAAGGGTTAGAGGGCCTAGACCAGGGGGAGGAAACCTTGGCTCTTTTTTGACTCGTGGACTCCAACTGCCAGACTTCCTGAGCCAGCCATGCTGAGGAGAAATGGAGAGGTTTCCAATCTGAGCCATGCTGGCTCAGGAATTCTGGGAGTTGAAATCCACGAGTCATAAAAGAGCCAAGGTTGCCTATCCATGGCCTAGACATTGGTTTACAACATAGATATTTCTCAAATTTATATTATATTGTTTTATTAGTCTAGATGAAATGTTAATATATATTGCAAATCTAGGTATGATATGCCACATACTAAACAAATAAACACACACAAACAGAGAGAGAGGGAGAGAGAGAGAGAGAGAGAGAGAAAGACACACAGAGAGAGAGGGAAATTGGAACAGAGATTTAAAGATTTGCTCCCAAATGGGAAATATCCAGTGTAACCATTCCTTCCTGTTGCCTTGCCTTGTTTTGCGCTGGTATTTATCACCACCAGCATCCTATTTATAGTTATTTATGGAATTTTGTATTTGCCCACAATTGTCTTCACTGCAAAAAAGTGTGGAAACAATTGACAATATTACCTGTCTCAGCCCGAGGGGTGACTAAAATAGAACAAACCGCAGGGACTAAAGACCTTCCTCAGCTCAGGACGGATTTTTAGGCCCTGTGTTGGGAAAGGAGGAGGCCATTTCTGTTGTCCAGAAATTCAGTGAGTGGTGATTGGATCTTGGATTCATCAATCAAAGGACAGTAACACTGAGTTCCTCCACTTAGTTTATATTCATGTTTATGTTTATACATTTACAATCTTTCTTGCCACAGCTTTTAAGTGAATCAAGTTGTTAAGTTAGTAACAGGGTTGTTAAGTGAATCTGGCTTCTGTAAGGATTTTGATTTTCAAACTGTTGCAAAAGGCGATCGCATGACCTTCGGACATAGCAACAGTCATAAGTATGAACAAATGACAAAATTAGTGGACCAGAGGAATGCTGTGGATATAATTTACTATTACTATTATCAAATTGGAAAACATTTGAATTTTGATCACATGATCCTGGGACTACTAATAAGGTCGTAAGTGTGAAAAACCGTCATAAATCACTTTTTTCAGGGCTGTAACTTTCAACGGTCACTAAATGATCTGTTGTAAATTGAAGACTACCTGCAATATGTGTACTTGATCCTGCTTCCAATAGTTTTCCTCTACCTTCCATTGAAATTTCTCTAATCACTTCACAACTCTGAAGTCTATGCTTCAGAAAGACAGTCATGACGTTAACTACGTTTGTTCCTGTTTGGGGCATCATATCAAAGTTAGATATATTTATAAACTCAAAGAGGATACAAGGACAGCATTTAAAATATGAAAATAAATTGGAATCCTCCCATTGGAGGAAGAAAAAAAAACTGTGTGAAACAATAGATGTTTCGGAAGTAAACCTGCAAACATGAAAAAAAATAAAACTTTGTTCTGTTTCCGTGAAGCATGTGGTTTAATATTTCACTATAACTGAAGTACAAGTTGTGAAGCTGGGTACTTTGAACCTGGGCTTTATTTTTTGTTTTTGTTTCTAGTTTATAATATTTGGAAATTGAAAAAAAAATATATTTGCTACTAGCAAGCTCATTCCTGAAGAAAGAAGAAACGTCGCCATTTATTAGGGCAGCGAATGCTTCAAAATTTATTTAGAAGAGATTTAAGAACAGAGTCTCTCTCCTGGTCATTAAAAATCTCTAACTTTTTTCTCTTCGAGCCTGAAGTCACATTACCAGTAATGGTTGTCCTCAACGTAAGACTGAAATTGAGCCCTGAATTACAGTGGTAAGTTGCTGCAGTCACAAGTCAAGGCATCATGTGACTGGACCCAAATTTTCAACATTTTTAGAGTAGTTGTTAAGCAAATGCTGTAGTCGTTAAGCGAATGCTGAAGTCATTAAGTGTTCGCTGGGGCGCTGCAAACAGTTCTAAAGGTAATCAGTTGCCAAGAATCCAAAATGGGATCATGTGATCATGGAGGTGGGGATATGCGGACACCATAATGATTAAAATAAGTCATAAGTAGTTCTGGGTCAGTTCTTCATAATTTCAAATGGTCATTAGGCAAGCAGTCATAAATCGAGGACTACCTATAACGATTAAATAAGAGTATTTTATTAGGGAAAACCCTCAGAGCTGTTAGATCTGTAAGGGGAGAGGAGGGGCTGCCCTGGGCCTTCCTGAGCCAGGGCATGGGAGGAGGTGATGCACGTCTGGCCAGCCTTATTGGAGCCATGTCCCAGTCAAGCGGGGCATCCACTGGCACACGTCCAGCTTGGGAGGAGCTGAAAGGGGAGCGCGAGCCCTGCACATGATCAGAGCCTCCGCAGCCCCGAGGGGAGAGTGCACTATGTCCCCTCCCCTCCCTGGAGACCCTGTGTGAGGAGCCCTTCCTTGAGCAGGGGGTTGGTCTAAAAGCCACACCCTAGGATTGTATGATTCCTTCTGTGCTTTGTGCCACACTGATGGTGCTTCTCTGTTGTTCCTGTTCCCACATGAAAGGAAGAGGCCAAAGGCCACCAAAGGAGTCAGCCACCGGGCCGCCCAGACACTGCTAAACCCAGGTGAGCTGCCCTCCGTGGGTAGGTTTAGAATGTGGCCCTTGTTTACCTAGTTGCCGAGGCAACGAGGTTGTCAGTTTCCCTGAAAAGCCACCAACCAGGGCCCAACTGCCCATTCTCCCTTCGTGCAGTGAAAGGACAAACAGCTGCTTGGGGTCATGGCTGTACGGAGGTTTTTTAGAGTAAGTGTGGCCGTCTCAGCTGCCAAGAAACTGGCAGTAGTAGGGGAGAAAGTCATGCTTCGCAACTCTTCCGACTGGCTCATCTCTATTTCTCTTTTCTTCACAGAACATCTGGAAAAGATGTTCGGCGCTCTTCTGCTGCAGGAAGAGCGACGTAGAGGACCTTCCTGTGCCTCCTGACAGGTACCACCCCCTTCTCCTCAAACCCTGGGCATGGTGGGGCACCACTGATGGACTGCAGGGTCTCTAACAGCCTCTCCCCAAGATGGCTTTCTCTCGGCAAGCGGCTTGCAGAGGCCAAAAGATGGGAAGGCGGACTGGCTGGCTGGTCTTAGAAAGGAGAGGCAGAGCTAGATGGATATTTTTTGACATGTCATCTTTTTCTTTCGGTCAGAACTGACGAGGCACATGAACAGGCGGACCAGACGGGAGAATGGTGGACACAGATTCGTGTGTCCGATGGACGCAGGCCTTCCTCCCAAGGGGTAAGGATGCTTCTGCGACATGGCCAGTCAGGGCTCATCCCTCATAACCGGATGGGGAAAGGGAGGAATTCTCACTTGGGGGAACCTGGCCAGCCTAGCAAAAGCAAGAGGAGCCTTTTGGATTCATGGAAAGTTCTTGATGGCTTCCTATCAGCCAAATCTTCCATGATCTGCTTTGTCTTTCCCTGTTGAATGCAGTCTTTCCCTCCTGGGGAAGATAAACGTTCCACAACATGCAGGGGACTTTTAATTTATACTTTCAATTGTTACTTGCAGGGTTTGATGGGTGTTCGTGCCACCGCCCGGAGCCCCAGGAAGGAAGAGGTGATGCCAGTTCTCATTTCAGTGAGGTAGGTGTTCGCAGATTAAGTATTCTGAACCCCCCTAAAAGGCAGCCGCAGTAAAGCCCTAAAGAGACGGGCTAGAAGAAACCTTTGCAGAGGCAGGGGGGGCATCGCATGGCTAGTTTTGATCTTTGGCCCTTCATTCTCTCCCTAGAAATGAGAAGATAGCGAAGTGGAGGCCGCGGCTCTCAACCATCTGGGAGACCTGCATTGAGTCGGTAAGCCCAGACCAGCTCCTCACCATGGCAATGGCAGAAGCCCTTTCGCTGTGGATTTGTTGATATGCCAACATTTGTAATATTTGCATTGTTATTTCAGGATCCTTCGGAAGAAGACCGACCAAGAGAGGTGCAGGAGGAAAGCAGTGCCTGCCTATCAAGGTAGGTAACACCTCAGAGGGTGAAGCTTTTGCAGAGAGGAGGCATCTCTGACCTCTGCCTCTGCTTCTGCTAAAGGAAGAATCAAAGGCCACTCTCCTTGGCAGGCCAGCTGGAAGGGTTCTTAGAGCCTCCACGTCACCACTTTTTTAAAAAGGGCCCATGGCTGTTTTTGATGTTTGGCTCCTTCGTTTCTCTCCCCAGAGAGGAAAAGGAAGAGCACTGGAGGCCGCGACTCCCCCCCAGATCAGAGACCTGCAGAAAATCGGTAAGGCGCGAACAACTTCTACCCCACTACACGAAGAACCATTGTCTCTGTGGAGATGCCAACAGACAGAATCTTTGCCTTTTTATTTCAGGACGAAGAAGACCAGCCGGCGGAGGAGCAGCTCTCTCCTACTGGGGAGAAGACGCATACTTCGGAGGTAAGAAAGTCTTGGCAATGGGGCCGATGGAGGCTCTCTTGCTGTTGGCGCACAGGGCCTGAATGCACCCTATCCTTTAGCAATCTTATTGGGATGCAGAAAGCTTAGGATTTATCCTCGATACTGTCATTTGCAGGATTCGATGGAAGTCCTGGTGGGCTCCCGGAACAACAGCCTGGAGGATTTTGACTCCATTTCTGCCCTCTTGGATGAGGAGTCTGAGGGAAGCTGGGAGCAGGCTGCAGAGGCTTCGGAGGCCAGCCTTTCGTCCAGTCCGTGGGTAAAACAGACAAAGTGTTTTCTCTTGGGGAGGGATAGAGTCCCTCTATTCAGTTCTCCTAATCTGAGTGAACTGTGCTGGAGAGCTCTGGGCAGTGGATAAAGGTGACACCTGGCCCTTGGGACAAGGTACTTAGGCTAACTAGAAGCACCCAAGCTGTGTTGCGATTGATTTACTGCAAACCAGAAGGGAAGGGCCAATTCAGTGGACTGGGGTCCTAAATAGATATGGCCCATCCTGTTTATCCCTTTCATTTTTCTGCATCATCCTCTCCAGCAACCAGCTGTTTCCAGGCAGGGCTTTAACGGGCAGAGTGGGTGGGAGTGGGGATTGCACCAGAAGCATTGTTTCTGATGGGAATCCCAAATCAATCGGGCCCCTTTTAGAAATTCTGAGTCTACTTTCATTGATGGATAAAAAGTCATCATTGTCATTCCCAGGATTCTCCCGAAGAAGGGGAAGCCTCGCTGGACAATGTCAGCAGCCTGGAGGAGGACTCCCTGGACCTCAGTCTCTAATTAAAAGAGGTACCTATTTTAGCCTCTTTGTGGATCAATGCCTTGCTCAAGGAAACAATGAGCTCTGACCGGCAGGGTCACCCAAGTCAGACAGGTCATAGTGCAGAGTGCTGACATAACGTGGTGCACTGGAAAAGGAAATGGCAACCCTCTCCTTACTTTTGATACCCCACAAAAAGTATCAAAAGTAACTCCAGAAAGAACAAAGTTTGTATACTTTTATAGAAAGAGTGTGGTACTAAGAATAGCCTTTGATTCCTCCCCCAGACGCTTCCCCAGATGCCTCTCCAGAAGGCAGATCGGAGGAGGATGAACCAGTCCCAGGCACATCAGGAGGTGAGTTGGCCAAGGCCTCCGAACAGCCAGCGGAGAGTGATTTGGCTGAAGCACAGCTGCAGCAGGAGAGCCCTGAAACTTCCGGGCAGCTGCAGATGGTTAGCTTTGAGCAGGAACTGCTTTCTGCATTATCCGAGAACAACTAGGGAAGAGAAAAGGCAGGAGCAGCAAAGGGCGGTTCTTTCACTCACGAGGAGGTAGTCTTGCCTGTCTTGATGGGCTGCACCAGAAGCTGGCAATTGAGCACAGCAGACAAATGGAGGCCATGCTGGGAACAATGCATTCATGACTAGGGGGTTGGAGTAGAAGACCTCCAAGGTCCCTTCCAACTCTTGGTATTCTGTTCTGGTATTCTATCTGCATATAGACGGATGGCGGAATCAGCCCTAGCGGCGAAGCCCTGCGAGGAGCCACTTTCCAACGAGGAAGTTCCTGCGTCTTGTTAATGTTATTGTTGTAATTCTTTTTGTTGTACCTGTTGTTGTTGTGCATCTTCTTGTTTTTGTTCTTGTTGTTTGAGAATAAAACTAAAAAATTCTTTATATCTGCTAATTTAGTTTAAACCTAGTTTCATTACACTTTTGTTAGGAATAACAAACTTTTCATTAAATGCAGAATTTCAGCAAACTTCTTTGTCTGTTTTCTCATATTTTTTCCACTGTTCTATGGGATACAGTGATTAGTATTCACTTACAATATTAATGGAAACCTGACACTTCCAGAGGTTCCTCAGCTACGCGCAAGTAGTCCTCAACTTACCACCATTGATCCACAAATTTATCTTTTAAATACAACATTTGTTTAGTGACTTTTGCCCCATTTTACGACCTTTCTTCCCACAGTTGTTAAGCAGATCACTGCAGTTGTTAAGATAGTAACACAGTTGTTAAGAGAATATGGCTTCCCCATTGTTTTTGCTTGCCAGAAGGACTCAAAAGTTGATCACATGACCCCGGGACACTGCTACAGTCATAAACATGAGTCAGTTGCCAAGCATCTGAATATCGATCATGTGACTAAGGGGCTACTGCAACGGACGTAAGTGTGAAACAAGATCATAAGTCCCTTTTTACAGTGCCGTTGTAACTTTGAACAGTCACTAAGTGAACTGTCGTAAGTGGAGGATTACCTGTACTTTCTGAACATCAACCAGTGTATTGTCTAGTAAGAAGGAGAATTTTGTTCAGCAACATCAGGAAGATCTGTCCTTGGAACATCATGATTGGAGGCACAGAAAGCACTGTAGATCTGCTATGGGGGCAGAAAGTTTGCATTCTTCCAGAAGAAGGAATATTACAGAAGAATACCCAAGTTACACTGGCTAAGAGGCAATAATTTCTTGCAACTCATGCTATATTGTTGCACACATTAGCAAAATACCGTATATAAGATACACAAATGGGACAGCTAAAATGGCAAGGAAAGTGTATGTCCTATCCAGACGTGAACAATTTCCATGCCAGTGATTTCCATTAAACTGTAAATAAAAATGATCATGTGAATGGCAACATAGCATACCTTGCTTTGTTATTCTCCTCTCAGTAACCTTGTTAATTGGTACTACATTTTCCATTGAAAAAGATGTGTTGCTTCACGTTTAGTAAGAATAAGAATATAAGGTATTTAGGGCTTGGATTCAAAGGCTTGATGTTTGCCCTCTCCCCCATCTGCACTCATGCAATTGCATTGTGGGCAATCAGCAACCAGATCACATTCAGAGCTTTTTGCAGCATCCCACACTCACGTGACTACAGCTTACAATGTTTTGCTGGCGTTGACTACCAATATCTGGTAAAAAATGCCCATTCTGAAAAATGGGTACACTTAACGACTGCAGCTTTCATTTAATGACCGCTGCAAACACCGTTGTAGAATAGGTTTGGTCACATGATGTCTTACTTAATCACCATTAAGACTTACCGTCTTAATTCCAGACTGGTATTAGGTGCCAAATGCTATTACTCTTTTTTTAAAGATATGAAAGATTATCAGTATTATCCTCTGTGCATCTCCATCTACAAAACCGCATTTGCATACAGCTCTGCAATTCAACCCCTCTAACCGATTTTCTCTGGAGAGGTGAGCGCACCTCCCAGACTGGCCATTTCTCTCCATGTAAATGGTGGCCTGACAGCGACTGCAATCTGACCGCTTACAGAGAGGCACCAATTTCATCTGGCACAGGCAAACACATGTCAACGTCCCAACCAAAAGTACAAGTAGTGCTCGACTTACAACCACAATGGAGCCTAAAATTTCTGTTGTCAAGAGAGACATTTGTTAATGGAATTTTGCCCCATTTTATGACCTTTCTTGCCACAGCTATTAAGTGAATCACTCCAGTTCATAAGCGAGTAACCTGGTTGTTAAGTGAATCTGGCTTCCCCATTGACTTTGCTTGTCAGAAGGTCACAAAAGTAGGTGACATGACCTTGGGACACAGCAACGGTCATAAGTATGAACCAGTTGCCAAGCATCTGAATTTTGATCACAGAATCATGGGGATGCTGCAAAGGGGGTAACTGTGAAAAACGAACATATGTCACTTTTTTCAGTGACGTTGTAACTTCGAATGGTCACTAAATGAACAGTGGTAAGTTGAGGACTTCCTTTAATTTGGAGGGCTATTTCTTCTATAGACAAGGAGCACTGATGATGTCTTGCAATATACATCTTAAAATAAATAACCAACCTGGAAACATTTTTGGAATACGATTTTACTTACAGAAGAAAGATTCTATATTTACCATTTAATAATAGGCTGGAAGATAAAACCCCAAAAAGATATTTATCAGAGGCCATAAAAGTCACTTAGAAGCTGAATTTAACAGAATGACAGAGTTGGAAGGGACCTTGGAGATCTTTTAGTCCAACCTCCTAGAATTCCAGAAGTGAAGAAGGGGTTTCCAAGTTGAAAAAAAAGTACTCATGTGTTGTTGTTGTTTTCATCAAAGGAGTCAATTTAGCCATCTCTGCTACCTCCATCAACTTTTGCAACCATTCCTCCATTGTGGAGATCGAAATGTCCTTCCCTTTTTGTACATAAAGTAGTCTGGCTACCATCAACGTATATAACATTGAAGTTCCATCATTGTTTCCAAGTCTTTTTTCCATTAAGCCAAAAAGAACAGTTTCTGCTTTTACCTTTATATTCACTTTCAGAATTTTCTGTATTAGAATAGAAATCCTACTCCAATATTTCTTTACTTTATCACATGTCCACCGTAAATGATAAAAGCTCCCTTGGGCCAGGATGTTTTTCAGGGGGCTGTGAATGTAGACACGAGTTGCCTCTGGTGTGATGCGTATTTTGGTCGTTGATGATGCCGACAATATTGCAATGATTAATGGTAATTATTATTTACTGCCAAAAGTCATATTGCAAATGGGTACCTATATATATTGAAATAGAAAAAGCTTTATTGATTATCTAGAGATAACTCCCAACTTTTCAGCATTTTCCAAGTTCCCCACATCCCAATGCCACTCAAGCACTGCTCTAGGCCGCTGACCACAGTAACCGAGCTACACAAATATTGTATAGTGAGGATGGGTTGTCAAAATGAAATACAATAACAGAAGAACGAATCCTCCTTTATCAGAAGTCCTAGGAGGCAAAGAATGCATAAATGCAGAAGAAAAGTTTGATTTTTAAGAGACACCAGAGCTGTTATTTCAATCAGTGCATTCCCCAATGTTATTGCCATGTGATAACAATAACAAGGGCCAGAATGCAATAGGTCTGTCACTAACAACTATGGAAAACCCGCTACTTGCCATTTCCACGATTCTTCTCATAAAGTCTAGTCATTTGCTAAATCCACTAAATACGATGACTGAGCAGCTACTGTTTTACCATAATATCCTACAAAACAGAGAAAGGCATGATAAAAAAGAGAATCTAAGATGTCATGTTGAGATAAATTAAGGAAGTGCGAATGGCTATAGCTCTTTCCCACCTTTACAAAGCCGTTGTTTTAGTAGAGTGTATTGAGAGGAAACGAAGAACCCTGCAAAATTATACTGGGTTATCCAGTTGGTTACATGGAGGTTAAGTGAATCTGGCTTCTGCATTGATTTTGCTTTTCAAACTGTTGCAAAAGGTGAACACGTCACCTTAGGACACAGCAAGAGTCATAAGTATGAACATAAGTATGTCAAGGATCTAACGTTTGATCACGTCACACTATAAGTGTGAAAAATGATCATAAGTCACTTTTTTGCTGTTGTCATAACTTTAAACGGTCACTAAGTGAACGGTAGGAGGTTGAGGACTACCTGTACTAGTCTAGCTCAATCTTGACATAAGGTTAAATAATAAATGTAAAGGTTTGGCCTGACAGCTGAAGAAAATGTAAAGACCAGCCACTACATTCTGCCAGCGAAGCAGAAAAGAAAGGGAACTAACAGGATGAGGAACAATTCTGGGCCAGGACAATTTAAACAACAATTAGCATTAGGTCTCAGAAACAGCAAACAGGTGTTGAAACACACACAAACTGAGGATCCCACGTCACACTGTACATCACATCATGCCCCACTGTAAACTGAGGGCATATACAGTTTCTCATTTTAAAATATACATGATGCTTCGCTTCAAGGGTTAGAGGGCCTAGACCAGGGGGAGGAAACCTTGGCTCTTTTTTGACTCGTGGACTCCAACTGCCAGAATTCCTGAGCCAGCCATGCTGAGGAGAAATGGAGAGGTTTCCAATCTGAGCCATGCTGGCTCAGGAATTCTGGGAGTTGAAATCCACGAGTCATAAAAGAGCCAAGGTTGCCTACCCATGGCCTAGACATTGGTTGATAACATAGATATTTCTCAAATTTATATTATATTGTTTTATTAGTCTAGATGAAATGTTAATATATATTGCAAATCCAGGTATGATATGCCACATACTAAACAAATAAACACACACAAACAGAGAGAGAGGGAGAAAGAGAGAGAGAGAGAGAGAGAGACAGAGAGAGACAGAGAGAGAGAGAGAGAGACAGAGAGAGGGAAATTGGAACAGAGATTTAAAGATTTGCTCCCAAATGGGAAATATCCAGTGTAACCATTCCTTCCTGTTGCCTTGCCTTGTTTTGCGCTGGTATTTATCACCACCAGCATCCTATTTATAGTTATTTATGGAATTTTGTATTTGCCCACAATTGTCTTCACTGCAAAAAAGTGTGGAAACAATTGACAATATTACCTGTCTCAGCCCGAGGGGTGACTAAAATAGAACAAACCGCAGGGACTAAAGACCTTCCTCAGCTCAGGACGGATTTTTAGGCCCTGTGTTGGGAAAGGAGGAGGCCATTTCTGTTGTCCAGAAATTCAGTGAGTGGTGATTGGATCTTGGATTCATCAATCAAAGGACAGTAACACTGAGTTCCTCCACTTAGTTTATATTCATGTTTATGTTTATACATTTACAATCTTTCTTGCCACAGCTTTTAAGTGAATCAAGTTGTTAAGTTAGTAACAGGGTTGTTAAGTGAATCTGGCTTCTGTAAGGATTTTGATTTTCAAACTGTTGCAAAAGGCGATCGCATGACCTCCGGACATAGCAACAGTCATAAGTATGAACAAATGACAAAATTAGTGGACCAGAGGAATGCTGTGGATATAATTTACTATTACTATTATCAAATTGGAAAACATTTGAATTCTGATCACATGATCCTGGGACTACTAGTAAGGTCGTAAGTGTGAAAAACCGTCATAAATCACTTTTTTCAGGGCTGTAACTTTCAACGGTCACTAAATGATCTGTTGTAAATTGAAGACTACCTGCAATATGTGTACTTGATCCTGCTTCCAATAGTTTTCCTCTACCTTCCATTGAAATTTCTCTAATCACTTCACAACTCTGAAGTCTATGCTTCAGAAAGACAGTCATGACGTTAACTACGTTTGTTCCTGTTTGGGGCATCATATCAAAGTTAGATATATTTATAAACTCAAAGAGGATACAAGGACAGCATTTAAAATATGAAAATAAATTGGAATCCTCCCATTGGAGGACGAAAAAAAAACTGTGTGAAACAATAGATGTTTCGGAAGTAAACCTGCAAACATGAAAAAAAATAAAAATTTGTTCTGTTTCCGTGAAGCATGTGGTTTAATATTTCACTATAACTGAAGTACAAGGTGTGAAGCTGGGTACTTTGAACCTGGGCTTTATTTTTTGTTTTTGTTTCTAGTTTATAATATTTGGAAATTGAAAAAAGAATATATGTGCTACTAGCAAGCTCGTTCCTGAAGAAAGAAGAAACGTCGCCATTTATTAGGGCAGCGAATGCTTCAAAATTTATTTAGAAGAGATTTAAGAACAGAGTCTCTCTCCTGGTCATTAAAAATCTCTAACTTTTTTCTCTTCGAGCCTGAAGTCACATTACCAGTAATGGTTGTCCTCAACGTAAGACTGAAATTGAGCCCTGAATTACAGTGGTAAGTTGCTGCAGTCACAAGTCGAGGCATCATGTGACTGGACCCAAATTTTCAACATTTTTAGAGTAGTTGTTAAGCAAATGCTGTAGTCGTTAAGCGAATGCTGAAGTCATTAAGTGTTCGCTGGGGCGCTGCAAACAGTTCTAAAGGTAATCAGTTGCCAAGAATCCAAAATGGGATCATGTGATCAGGGAGGTGGGGATATGCGGACACCATAATGATTAAAATAAGTCATAAGTAGTTCTGGGTCAGTTCTTCATAATTTCAAATGGTCATTAGGCAAGCAGTCATAAATCGAGGACTACCTATAACGATTAAATACTAGTATTTTATTAGGGAAAACCCTCAGAGCTGTTAGATCTGTAAGGGGAGAGGAGGGGCTGCCCTGGGCCTTCCTGAGCCAGGGCATGGGAGGAGGTGATGCACGTCTGGCCAGCCTTATTGGAGCCATGTCCCAGTCAAGCGGGGCATCCACTGGCACACGTCCAGCTTGGGAGGAGCTGAAAGGGGAGCGCGAGCCCTGCACATGATCAGAGCCTCCACAGCCCCGAGGGGAGAGTGCACTATGTCCCCTCCCCTTCCTGGAGACCCTGTGTGAGGAGCCCTTCCTTGGGCAGGGGGTTGGTCTAAAAGCCACACCCTAGGATTGTATGATTCCTTCTGTGCTTTGTGCCACAATGATGGTGCTTCTCTGTTGTTCCTGTTCCCACATGAAAGGAAGAGGCCAAAGGCCACCAAAGGAGTCAGCCACCGGGCCGCCCAGACACTGCTAAACCCAGGTGAGCTGCCCTCCTTGGGTAGGTTTAGAATGTGGCCCTTGTTTACCTAGTTGCCGAGGCAACGAGGTTGTCAGTTTCCCTGAAAAGCCACCAACCAGGGCCCAACTGCCCATTCTCCCTTCGTGCAGTGAAAGGACAAACAGCTGCTTGGGGTCATGGCTGTACGGAGGTTTTTTAGAGTAAGTGTGGCCGTCTCAGCTGCCAAGAAACTGGCAGTAGTAGGGGAGAAAGTCATGCTTCGCAACTCTTCCGACTGGCTCATCTCTATTTCTCTTTTCTTCACAGAACATCTGGAAAAGATGTTCGGCGCTCTTCTGCTGCAGGAAGAGCGACGTAGAGGACCTTCCTGTGCCTCCTGACAGGTACCACCCCCTTCTCCGCAAACCCTGGGCATGGTGGGGCACCACTGATGGACTGCAGGGTCTCTCACAGCCTCTCCCCAAGATGGCTTTCTCTCGGCAAGCGGCTTGCAGAGGCCAAAAGATGGGAAGGCTGACTGGCTGGCTGGTCTTAGAAAGGAGAGGCAGAGCTAGATGGATATTTTTTGACATGTCATCTTTTTCTTTCGGTCAGAACTGACGAGGCACATGAACAGGCGGACCAGAAGGGAGAATGGTGGACACAGATGCGTGTGTCCGATGGACGCAGGCCTTCCTCCCAAGGGGTAAGGATGCTTCTGCGACATGGCCAGTCAGGGCTCATCCCTCATAACCGGATGGGGAAAGGGAGGAATTCTCACTTGGGGGAACCTGGCCAGCCTAGCAAAAGCAAGAGGAGCCTTTTGGATTCATGGAAAGTTCTTGATGGCTTCCTATCAGCCAAATCTTCCATGATCTGCTTTGTCTTTCCCTGTTGAATGCAGTCTTTCCCTCCTGGGGAAGATAAACGTTCCACAACATGCAGGGGACTTTTAATTTATACTTTCAATTGTTACTTGCAGGGTTTGATGGGTGTTCGTGCCATCGCCCGGAGCCCCAGGAAGGAAGAGGTGATGCCAGTTCTCATTTCTGTGAGGTAGGTGTTCGCAGATTAAGTATTCTGAACCCCCCTAAAAGGCAGCCGCAGTAAAGCCCTAAAGAGAAGGGCTAGAAGAAACCTTTGCAGAGGCAGGGGGGGCATCGCATGGCTAGTTTTGATCTTTGGCCCTTCATTCTCTCCCTAGAAATGAGAAGATAGCGAAGTGGAGGCCGCGGCTCTCAACCATCTGGGAGACCTGCACTGAGTCGGTAAGCCCAGACCAGCTCCTCACCATGGCAATGGCAGAAGCCCTTTCGCTGTGGATTTGTTGATATGCCAACATTTGTAATATTTGCATTGTTATTTCAGGATCCTTCGGAAGAATACCGACCAAGAGAGGTGCAGGAGGAAAGCAGTGCCTGCCTCTCAAGGTAGGTAACACCTCAGAGGGTGAAGCTTTTGCAGAGAGGAGGCATCTCTGACCTCTGCCTCTGCTTCTGCTAAAGGAAGAATCACAGGCCAATCTCCTTGGCAGGCCAGCTGGAAGGGTTCTTAGAGCCTCCACGTCACCACTTTTTTAAAAAGGGCCCATGGCTGTTTTTGATGTTTGGCTCCTTCGTTTCTCTCCCCAGAGAGGAAAAGGAAGAGCACTGGAGGCCGCGACTCCCCCCCAGATCAGAGACCTGCAGAGAATCGGTAAGGCGCGAACAACTTCTACCCCACTAAACGAAGAACCATTGTCTCTGTGGAGATGCCAACAGACAGAATCTTTGCCTTTTTATTTCAGGACGAAGAAGACCAGCCGGCGGAGGAGCAGCTCTCTCCTACTGGGGAGAAGACGCATACTTCGGAGGTAAGAAAGTCTTGGCAATGGGGCCGATGGAGGCTCTCTTGCTGTTGGCGCACAGGGCCTGAATGCACCCTATCCTTTAGCAATCTTATTGGGATGCAGAAAGCTTAGGATTTATCCTCGATACTGTCATTTGCAGGATTCGATGGAAGTCCTGGTGGGCTCCCGGAACAACAGCCTGGAGGATTTTGACTCCATTTCTGCCCTCTTGGATGAGGAGTCTGAGGGAAGCTGGGAGCAGGCTGCAGAGGCTTCGGAGGCCAGCCTTTTGTCCAGTCCGTGGGTAAGACAGACAAAGTGTTTTCTCTTGGGGAGGGATAGAGTCCCTCTATTCAGTTCTCCTAATCTGAGTGAACTGTGCTGGAGAGCTCTGGGCAGTGGATAAAGGTGACATCTGGCCCTTGGGACAAGGTACTTAGGCTAACTAGAAGCACCCAAGCTGTGTTGCGATTGATTTACTGCAAACCAGAAGGGAAGGGCCAATTCAGTGGACTGGGGTCCTAAATAGATATGGCCCACCCTGTTTATCCCTTTCATTTTTCTGCATCATCCTCTCCAGCAACCAGCTGTTTCCAGGCAGGGCTTTAACGGGCAGAGTGGGTGGGAGTGGGGATTGCAACAGAAGCATTGTTTCTGATGGGAATCCCAAATCAATCGGGCCCCTTTTAGAAATTCTGAGTCTACTTTCATTGATGGATAAAAAGTCATCATTGTCATTCACAGGATTCTCCCGAAGAAGGGGAAGCCTCGCTGGACAATGTCAGCAGCCTGGAGGAGGACTCCCTGGACCTCAGTCTCTAATTAAAAGAGGTACCTATTTTAGCCTCTTTGTGGATCAATGCCTTGCTCAATGAAACAATGAGCTCTGACGGGCAGGGTCACCCAAGTCAGACAGGTCATAGTGCAGAGTGCTGACATAACGTGGTGCACTGGAAAAGGAAATGGCAACCCTCTCCTTACTTTTGATACCCCACAAAAAGTATCAAAAGTAACTCCAGAAAGAACAAAGTTTGTATACTTTTATAGAAAGAGTGTGGTACTAAGAATAGCCTTTGATTCCTCCCCCAGACGCTTCCCCAGATGCCTCTCCAGAAGGCAGATCGGAGGAGGATGAACCAGTCCCAGGCACATCAGGAGGTGAGTTGGCCAATGCCTCCGAGCAGCCAGCGGAGAGTGATTTGGCTGAAGCACAGCTGCAGCAGGAGAGCCCTGAAACTTCCGGGCAGCTGCAGATGGTTAGCTTTGAGCAGGAACTGCTTTCTGCATTATCCGAGAACAACTAGGGAAGAGAAAAGGCAGGAGCAGCAAAGGGCGGTTCTTTCACTCACGAGGAGGTAGTCTTGCCTTTCTTGATGGGCTGCACCAGAAGCTGGCAATTGAGCACAGCAGACAAATGGAGGCCATGCTGGGAACAATGCATTCATGACTAGGGGGTTGGAGTAGAAGACCTCCAAGGTCCCTTCCAACTCTTGGTATTCTGTTCTGGTATTCTATCTGCATATAGACGGATGGCGGAATCAGCCCCAGCGGCGAAGCCCTGCGAGGAGCCACTTTCCAACGAGGAAGTTCCTGAGTCTTGTTAATGTTATTGTTGTAATTCTTTTTGTTGTACCTGTTGTTGTTGTGCATCTTCTTGTTTTTGTTCTTGTTGTTTGAGAATAAAACTAAAAAATTCTTTATATCTTCTAATTTAGTTTAAACCTAGTTTCATTACACTTTTGTTAGGAATAACAAACTTTTCATTAAATGCAGAATTTCAGCAAACTTCTTTGTCTGTTTTCTCTTATTTTTTCCACCGTTCTATGGGATACAGTGATTAGTATTCACTTACAATATTAATGGAAACCTGACACTTCCAGAGGTTCCTCAGCTACGCGCAAGTAGTCCTCAACTTACCACAATTGATCCACAAATTTATCTTTTAAATACAACATTTGTTTAGTGACTTTTGCCCCATTTTACGACCTTTCTTCCCACAGTTGTTAAGCAGATCACTGCAGTTGTTAAGATAGTAATACAGTTGTTAAGAGAATGTGGCTTCCCCATTGTTTTTGCTTGCCAGAATGACTCAAAAGTTGATCACATGACCCCGGGACACTGCTACAGTCATAAACATGAGTCAGTTGCCAAGCATCTGAATATCGATCATGTGACTAAGGGGCTACTGCAACGGACGTAAGTGTGAAACAAGATCATAAGTCCCTTTTTACAGTGCCGTTGTAACTTTGAACAGTCACTAAGTGAACTGTCGTAAGTGGAGGATTACCTGTACTTTCTGAACATCAACCAGTGTATTGTCTAGTAAGAAGGAGAATTTTGTTCAGCAACATCAGGAAGATCTGTCCTTGGAACATCATGATTGGAGGCACAGAAAGCACTGTAGATCTGCTATGGGGGCAGAAAGTTTGCATTCTTCCAGAAGAAGGAATATTACAGAAGAATACCCAAGTTACACTGGCTAAGAGGCAATAATTTCTTGCAACTCATGCTAGATTGTTGCACACACTAGCAAAATACCGTATATAAGATACACAACTGGGACAGCTAAAATGGCAAGGAAAGTGTATGTCCTATCCAGACGTGAACAATTTCCATGCCAGTGATTTCCATTAAACTGTAAATAAAAATGATCATGTGAATGGCAACATAGCATACCTTGCTTTGTTATTCTCCTCTCATTAACCTTGTTAATTGGTACTACATTTTCCATTGAAAAAGATGTGTTGCTTCACGTTTAGTAAGAATAAGAATATAAGGTATTTAGGGCTTGGATTCAAAGGCTTGATGTTTGCCCTCTCCCCCATCTGCACTCATGCAATTGCATTGTGGGCAATCAGCAACCAGATCACATTCAGAGCTTTTTGCAGCATCCCACAATCACGTGACTACAGCTTACAATGTTTTGCTGGCGTTGACTACCAATATCTGGTAAAAAATGCCCATTCTGAAAAATGGGTACACTTAACGACTGCAGCTTTCATTTAATGACCGCTGCAAACACCGTTGTAGAATAGGTTTGGTCACATGATGTCTTACTTAATCACCAGTAAGACTTACCGTCTTAATTCCAGACTGGTATTAGGTGCCAAATGCTATTACTCTTTTTTTAAAGATATGAAAGATTATCAGTATTATCCTCTGTGCATCTCCATCTACAAAACCGCATTTGCATACAGCTCTGCAATTCAACCCCTCTAACCGATTTTCTCTGGAGAGGTGAGCGCAACTCCCAGACTGGCCATTTCTCTCCATGTAAATGGTGGCCTGACATCGACTGCAATCTGACCGCTTACAGAGAGGCACCAATTTCATCTGGCACAGGCAAACACATGTCAACTTCCCAACCAAAAGTACAAGTAGTGCTCGACTTACAACCACAATGGAGCCTAAAATTTCTGTTGTCAAGAGAGACATTTGTTAATGGAATTTTGCCCCATTTTATGACCTTTCTTGCCACAGTTATTAAGTGAATCACTCCAGTTCATAAGCGAGTAACCTGGTTGTTAAGTGAATCTGGCTTCCCCATTGACTTTGCTTGTCAGAAGGTCACAAAAGGAGGTGACATGACCTTGGGACACAGCAACGGTCATAAGTATGAACCAGTTGCCAAGCATCTGAATTTTGATCACAGAATCAGGGGGATGCTGCAAAGGGGGTAACTGTGAAAAACGAACATATGTCACTTTTTTCAGTGACGTTGTAACTTCGAATGGTCACTAAATGAACAGTTGTAAGT